CTAGCCATTTGCATTCATAATAGCATAGCAAACTATTGGCTATTGTCGGACCTAGCGGGAATCCCATGGCGATTCCATCTATCTGGTCATAAATGACGTCATTAAAGAGTAAATGGTTTAACTTTGTAGCGAGGACAAGAAGTTCCAGGAATTGTTTACAGGTGAAACCAAGAATGTACTTACTCTCTAGAAAGTAATTCTGAAGCTTAAAGCTATTTCTTCAAGTAGTTTTGTTTTGCAATTCTGTGAAACAAACCATATAACAGGTATGTTGACTTGACCCTCCTGGGTCTCATAGGGTTAAAGGTTATGTCACTGTGCTAGAAAAGAATTTGACTATAAAGTATGTGGATTTAGTTGTTCTATTCTTGTAATAGTGTTTTATAAAGAAAGGCGCGGTGACAGAAGGCCGATCTTCTGTTCAGCTTACCCCCAATATTGGAAAGGAAGACAGTGGTCATGTTAGAGTTTTTAAATGATGTGTGAGTAATTAAAACTGTATACATTGATTATGTGTCTTCCATTTAGTAGCCACAGACAAGACAAAAATTGTGTGCACAAGCTGTTCGCTCACTCCTGTTCAGATGGCCTGTTTACAAATCTGACTAGGTTATGGCTGCTCTTCATAATACTCAACTGAGGAACTTTTGTCAGATATATGAGAAAAACTGATAGAGAAAGCAAAAAACTTTGACTGACAGAAGTTGTATTATGTCGAGTGTGAGAACTGCTTCTACGTGCAGCCAAGACGTGGTTGTCAAAAAAAAAAAGGATGCACAGTCGGCCATGTGTGCCAATTTTTGTGTACAGGCAGAAAGTTTTGCATAATACAGTATGTATACAAGTTTGGGTTATATACACAATTTTTGGGTAATTGACTTCTGAAAAGATGAGGAGAATTTAAAATTTCACCACTGTTGAAAAAATATGTTTCAAAAAACCTGAAATACTAGCATGATATCCCAGTTTAGTGACGTAAAGTCTTGAATAGTTGCAGAGTCAGTGGGAGACATTATTACTTTATTAAGAATGTTTCAGTGAAGATGGAAATCTTAGTGATTAGAAGATACGTTGTCATATGTATTTTTTGAAAAGCAAACTTAAGGAGGACCTACATTGGAATATATCAAGTTATCCAGTTGTAATTTATTGACAGTCAGTCAGTGATTCAGCATGGGATTTAAATTCTTGCCTTATGGTCTTGTGAAATTGTTGATAGAACATCAACCGTTCTTTACTACTAGCAACGGAGTAGAGGTTTTGAATGATTTATCTACCATTTTGCTAAAATGCTGTTCTTTGGATGATCTGACATGGCCTAGTGGTTTGCATGCCCAGGCTGCAAAACTAAGGGTTTGTGGTTTACTACAAAAATGCACTTCACAATTTGGGGCAGTGGGTGTACAATAAGAGCGAGCTCAAATTCAACAACCTATATTTGGTCTAAGAAGAATTATCCAAGATTTGGTGGTGGGTATTATTGACTAGCTCGGCTCCCTTCACTTCTAGTCTGTAACTTAAGTTAGTGATGCCTATCTGCAGATAGACCTTATGTAGCTGTTCTTCAGCCTATCTACTGATTGAGTTTCTATACATTAAATGAATGATCCAAATTACAACCTAAATGCATACATTGCCTTCAACGTGTATAATTAAAGCTATGTAACAAATTGTACTATAAGAGCTGCTAAAATTATACCATGATAATTACAATTTAATTAGGCAATTAACTTGATTAATTTATTATCTATGAATATTGATTACGTTGATTAGTGTCATGTAAAATAATCAGTTAAGCAAAATTAGGATTAAATCGATAAGTGTCGTGTAATATAATTAAGCAAAATTAGGATTAAATCGATAAGTGTCGTGTAATATAATTAAGCAAAATTAGGATTAAATCGATAAGTGTCGTGTAATATAATCAACTATTCGAAATAAGTGTTTATGATTATTACTACTTATGATTATTCCAACTGTCCAAATCTCATTAAAATAGTAATTGATTAGTTGAAATAGATTAGTAAGTCCTACAATTAATAATAATAAAAATGAAAATAATAAAAAAAAATTCAAGAGTTTAACTATTGCTTCATGTTATAATACTTACATTATTATTTTGTTCTGTTCAACAGGACCTTAATTTTAAAAGAAACTGGAACAAAATATTAACAAATAATATAGAAAATATATATTTCTTATCAATGAAGTTTATATTTTTGATTATTCTTGAATGTATTTTTAAAGTCTAGTTTTATCTTACTTTCGTTATGCAGAAACCATTCAGATTATGTCGTAAATGTTTCTCCTATCACATAAAAATTAAACTTTTAACCAGGTCGCTTCCTACAAAAATTACAATAAACAAGCCCTCGAATGGATAAGCAAATACTTGCGTGCTCATTAAGAAAAAAAACATTATCTTGTTGGTGATTTATAAAAGCTAATTTGAAATTACTTCAGTTTGTTATGCATTTTGTGGTGATAGAAATTTGTTTTATTAGCAATATATTAAACAAGGTGGTGACTGTTGTTGTCGTTCAGTAATTGTGCATATATTCTGTGTATGCACCTTCCCAGTGTTTATACATAAAGTGACAGACATAGGACATAAAAAGTATTTAATATCTTCAATATATGTAATAAAAATGGATGGTGTAAGATGGCTGCAACAGTGATGTATCAGTCTTTATGCTTCTTGAATTAGTTTTATAAAAATGAGTGTAATAACTATGTAAATATCTTTTACTTGAACAGTAATAATATGTTTATATAGGAATTCCATACATATGCAGCAAAATGATGCTACTAATTTATTCTTGTGAACATTTCTCTTAGACAAGCTGTTTAAAATACTGAAAAATAAATGTGAAGCCCAATCCATCATTCATTTTACCACTTATCACTGAGTTACACCAGTTTAGGATAATTTTATTCCTTATCAATAATTCTGGATAAGGGCAAATCCAAAGAATATGACTAAGATTGTTGTGAATTGAATCCTGATAAAATAAAATTTCATTGGTAAGATTCCAGAGATATAACTTTGCTACTAGAAGGTAGAAACAAGACAGAGATGACCAGTTACCAGTTGTAAGCAGGACTGATTGGTGTAAGGTCCTGTTTTGAGATGCTTCTGAACCAGAGGGGGTTTTTGAATTCTATTGGTCAGTGTGATCTCTCTCCTCCAAAATGGCAGACCTATTATAATAAGCTATTAGCCCTCTGTTACTTGACTGCCTAGTTGGGGTGGACATATCTAGGAACAGGAGTTTTGAAGAGTGAGTGGTTAATGTATTGCCTACAAAACTAATAAATTAAAATGTAATGCACAGATGGAAATTTCTGGGAGCAAGAGGTTTCACTCGACCAGCAGGAGAGGAAGAACAGGGAAACCAACCATGGCCTAAACATTGAGCTGGTAAACGTTTCATGCAAAAAAAAGTGCATCAGACTTCACCAATTTCATATGTTGCTGCAATGTTGGGGGGGGGGGGGGGATACAAATACTCATTTTAGAAGTTCTCTGAATTTTAAGACATCATACTCTTTCAAGTGATTAAACTTATAAACCCTAAAGAATTCGTTCTCATTGGTTTTATGCTGATCCATAAGCTAGGATGGCCATCACAGTTGGGCACAATAGGAACATCCATCATGAACATTGACAGGTCTCAGTGGGACAATCACAACTGCAATGTACAAACCATCCATAGATTTCATTGAAAGCTGTATACATTTTCATCTTAAAGGCCATTGAATTGTGATGCAACTAAACATCATTGGCAATATCACAGAGAATGCTGTAGCTAGAAGACTTGCCTATCAGATTGAACCACTGCTCCACTCATCATTCAGAATAGGTACCAGTGTAAGATGAGTTGTAGTTGCATTAACTACCGAAAGGTACGTCATGAAGCATGGAGGCTTGCATTGAGACTGGATCACTATCATTATGGCCTGCCTTAAGGATTACCGCTGTCACCAGTCCTCTTCAACTTTTAGATCATGGTCTAGCCCATCTTGACAGTCCAACCACATGCCACGAGTTAACCATTGCTGATGACATTTTATGTACAACAGATGCTTTAGAAAAACTCAAATCACTTACAAGATGCAACCATTTCTTATAGGGGAGAACAAATGTTGACATGACACAAGAATGGTCATCATTCTTGGCCAAGTCACAGCTACGTTCTGCACACTTAACAATAGAAATATTGATGAGTACAAACAATCATTATCCCCTTGTGGGCAGTGTCATACCTCCATAAGGAACAGTGAAATACCTGTAGGTGAACTTTAACAGAAAACGTCACTAGCTGCATTAACACCACAGCTACCAAAGATATCAATGCACTGAAAGTTGTAGCAGGAAAAAAGAGCTAAAGAACACCATCTACTTATGCTTTACCAATGTTCTATCTGATATATTCTAGATTCTACACTATTGATGATCAGTATGAATGCAAGCAACTGTTGGACTGAAGGGTACTTGTAAAATTAGTCAAAAATTATATTGATATCAATTTCATGATACTTAGAAATAATGGTTCTAAACATTATTTTCAATTTTACATGATGTTGTGTACTCACCTACTGTTAGAATGTTAGTATTGTTATTGTCGTTAAGAAAATCTACCACTAAACACTTACAGATATCTCGCATTGTGACATGTTCGAAACATAATTCTCGTGTTAAGCTGATTGTGCTAGGTTTTGAATTCACATTAAAAATAGAAAAGATAAAACAATTGTATACGAAAATTCAACCTTAGACGTTTGAACTGGAGGTTAAAAAGACACGACTGTATACTGTAATATTTGTTAATTTTTAGGTTCCAAATGTTTAGTAAGATTTCATTTATTTTGTGGCAGTTGTAACCATTAATATTATACTCTGTGTACCCAATAATAGATTACTTAGCAGCATGTTTCCTTGGATTATTAAATATTTTAAACTGTTTTTTTAATTTAGTGATTTTCTTTCTTTCTTTTAGGTGTTGAATATTAAAATCTGCCCACATGCCAGTTTGTAGAAGTTGCTGTAAGCTGATATAAAGAACTTAAACTAAAAATGATATATTGTGAAAGTGATACATACATACTCTGAACTAGTAAGCAGTGTGAAAAGTTAGTTGGACAGACAAAGCTTTTCTCCTATTCTACTCTAAAACTGAAATACAATCTGAACTATTCACGATGTCACAGGGAGAAAGTTTGGATATCTTAGAAATGCTCTTTGATAAAAATGATCCAATTTTAAAAGAAAATACTGCTCCTTTCTTTGTGGAAGATGATATTGACATTTTCCAAGAAACCTCCACAGACTTGCAATTGGTAAGTAAGTTTATTGTAGAGATAAATGAGGGGAAGTGCTAATATAGTCAGATTCAACATTTAAATGTAACTAAATAAGAGTTTTTTTTGTTTTTAACTAAAATGCTTTACAACCCTCCTGGTATGTGTAAACATTTGTTGATGCTATTTTTAAAAACTGTCAAAATAAATAAGTGGTGTTAAGTTTCCCCCTTTTTTTTTTCCAAGCTGTCCAGTCTATCAATCATCTGTGGTTAGCTTTTTGAGTTATTTAAAACCATAATAGTCCATTGGCCATACATCAAATGTTTTGCAAATCATGTTAGAATTTATTTTATTTCAGCCTCTTCTCTCAAACTTCCAAAAATATATAAGTATTTTTCTGTGAAAACGAGTTATAAGTTTATTGTAAGGTATTAAAGTTGAAAAATATATTATATATGCACATAAAATAGGGAGAAAAAATTAAAAGAAACAAGTGAGCAGTGTATGGTGAAATGAAATTTGAACAATTAGGAAAGATTAAATTGAAAGAAGATGTTAGTGTAATTATTGACTAGATTACATTTGTTCATTAAGAGTTTATTTAATTAACAATTCTATGTTGGATTGGCCTGAATTAAGAATTTTCTTAGTCATATCGTGACATATGTTCTGTCTGATTATGAATGGCAGATGTGCACAGATACTTTGTGAAGGTGCCTAAATGTTCATGAGCACACATAACAGGATAATTTTTAATCTTCCCAACGTAGGTGGTTGTATACAACCCACAAGTGCAAAAAATGTACTAGTTTGTCTTCGTATGAGAACAAGTCTTTTTAATCTGAAAGTGTTACAAATTTAAAAAGTGTTTAATCTGTTAAAAACTAGCTTGCCCATCATTCTTGCGATTGTTTTTATGTTTACAATGTATCTAAATTTTTGGTTCTTATTATTTTAATCCAATTAATCTTAACACTTTCACACTAAATGTCAACCCTTCCCAAAGAAACTATTATCAAGAATTTTCAGTCTTATGAAAACTGGTACTTTTCCATTATACCCCCGCAAATGGTAAGTTTTTACTATATGAATATAATGCTTATACGTTTTTAGACATTGATTATGGACATTTACGATATGAACAAAATGCATATTTATATATATGTATAATTATATTTTTTGTAAAGTTATTAAAATTGTGGGGGTTTAATAGAAAAATTATTAAAATTTCAATTGCACAGGTATAATGGGAAAAGTACCGAAACCATCAACATTTGTCTTATAACTTTCCTCTCAACACACTAAATTCAGTGGGTTCACCCTTAGGTCCCACATTTTCCAAAGCCTTTTTGTTTTCCACCAAAATTTTCCTATTAATTTCAGACCTATGATACTCTACAAAAGGTGTGTGGATGATACTTTTATTTGTCTTTCAAAACTTCTCACATATCTGATCTCACAACAGTCAAATATATAATTTGCCTATGAAGTAAAGACTAACCTAACTTTCCTTTTTCTAGAAATCTTATACCAAGACACCCCAATGGTTTCTCTTGATTTTTTTATTGTAAGAAACTTTTACTGGTATTTTCCTAGCTTGTAAGTTATATAGAAACGGATGTAAACTATTATGAGTCTTAAGTTATTTAAGACAAACAATTGTAGTTTTCTATTACAATCTTCAGTGGTTCTAGGAAAAAATAGGGGGGAAATTTATATTTATTTCATATTTTTTATGGTGGTTACAAGGTCACTCGGATGAACTGAGTCCACGTAGAATTCGGGAATAGAAAATAACAGATTAAATATAAAGTTTTACTGGAAATAAAAATGTATTTATTTAGGAGATTTTTAGAAGTTATTAAAATAAAATTTGAAAATTTTCAAAGGAAGAAATATATTTTTAATCATAATCACTTTTCACTTGATACATTCAACACTGATTCACAGACAAATCGTTTGTAGAAATACTTAATTAAAAATCTGACTTTTTGTGTACAAAAGACTTGTGATGTTTACTAAAAGCTTTCCAAATTTCATTAAGATACATAAAACATATTAAAAATTGTAGTATGGAAACTGATGGTTACTTTGTGGTTACAAAGTTAGTCACATCAACCCAACCCCATGTGAAAAGAATTCATTTATTGGTCGTTTATTCTGCATTTTCATTAACTTTCACCTGCAAATATAAGAAACGTGATAAGAAACGTAACTGCTGTTATAAAATCAGTTGATTGGCTCACTCATGATATTCATAAGCCTGCAGAACCAATAGAAAAAATTAGCATCATAAAAGAAACCCAATAACCCGACGCTTTCAGCAAGAGGAAATTCTAATTTTTGAAAGTGCTGTAGTTTCCAGAAGTGCTCCAGTTACTGGGTTTCTTTTCTATTGCTGAGTTGAATGGCTAATTTAGTGTTTAGACAAAAACTTTATTTGCATTAATATTAATACGTATTGAAATATTTCTTCACATTACTAAAGTTAAACTAGCATGAAGATTAATATGTCGTGATATATTAAACAAATGTAATAATTTAAAACTTTTATTTTATTTGCAGAATCCATGGGATCTGGATCCCAGTGAATTTTTATCTTCACTTTTAAATAGTGAGGAACTGAATCAAAGCAAAGGGCATGAAACAAGAACAACCACACAGTCTTGTAGCGATGATGGTGCTCTTAGCGAGGAGATGTCTCCTTCCCTTTCTCTTCCAAGTCTATATTATGAAAACAAGTCATTGAGTAGCAATTCTTCACTCAGTGGTCTGTCAGAAACTAATTCACCACCTCCTATCACTTTAGAGATGGAAAACTCGGTTGATGACTTTCAAATCACCCAGAGTTCTACGGATGTTATTATTGATGGAAATCGTTCAGCGGCAATCGAAATAGGTAAACAGTGTTACAGCATGTGTAGACGTTAATAATTGTTTTAAATATGTTAACCATAATTGATGCTTGTTTTCTTTTTCAAACATAACTCTGTCCAAGTTTGTTTAAGCTCTTACATTGTTGTAAACCATATTTACAGGTAGAATAATATCTTCCAGAAATGTAAACATTTATTGCTATTGAGTCAGTAAGTGATTGATGTTTTATTAATGACAGAAACACATTTTTCATTCAGTACTGTTCTAAGAGATGATTGAAAAACTACAAAGGAAACTGTTCCATTTTATTTAGGACTATAATAAGTTTTAAATACTTGAAAAGTTTCTGCCGAGCTTGCGACATTCAGTTGATACTTTTTCTCCACACGTATCTATTCTTGTATTGCAGTGTTGTGAGTACAATTCCCAAGTATATTTCTATCTATATACATTTTGATGGTCATGTTGCAGTGTTCCGAATCGGAATATCCCATTGTTACAAGTAACTATATACATTCTTTGATAGATTGCTTAGGCAGAGTATTCATGATGAAACTTTGTAGAATGGATGGTAACTGCCTGTTGTAAAGACCTGAAGATGAAAGGTAGAAGACTTTTGAAACGTCATCCTCGACACTTGTGTCTCTACAACAGGCAATTACCGTCCATTCTACAAAGTTGCATTATAATAGTATACATTTTTATGTTTTTGTTCTTAGGCTTTGAAGTTTTGCTCCCATATAACATAAAGCTAGAAAATAAGATATACTTAACACACAAACTGTTCTTGACTGGAATTCTGATCAACATCATTAGCTGATAAAGATCTCTGCCAGCAATTCAAAATATCATTCAAAACTTTTGAGGAAAGTGCAGTCCACAAAAGTCTCCATTAAAGTACAATATTTTCTATCTAAACTTTTCTAAATTTAGAACATACAATGTTAAATGATGTTTTTGTAGCAAAAGTTGTGGTTCTATACTAACAATAAAATGCTATGTATAATTCATTTATAGAAATATACAATGTTGACTTAAGTTGTTTGATGATAAATTGGCCAAATCATCAAAATTTATAAACAATTTTTGTATGTTTTTTTTAATAATTTCATATAGGAGCAGACATAATTGTTACAACTTCAGAAGCAACACAAGAAAATATACATCTGGATACCACAAGTAATGATAGTATAAATCAGGTAAAAATAATTTTTCTTATACATTTTCCTTACCACAAGTTGGTCATGGGACATGTAATTATTTCTTTCTTTTCTTTAAATGGCAAAAATCCTTTAAAAAAAAACAGTGGCAAAATAAGCGTTATTTTTCAACTTTTAGATGAAAAGTTAAAAGTTCGCTGTGGGATACGTGTGAACAAAACACGAAGCTATAGGCCAACGTTTAAGAATGAACTATTAAAAAAGTTACTAGACAGATAACAAGACCTGATAGGCTGAAGTTGAGGACTGTATTGAAATGAAAGAACCTCGAACTAGGATTAATTCGAGAACTGCATGAATTAATCAGCCTAATGCCTTTACTGACAGCGAGTTCAACAGTCATAAGGATGAATCCTCATATACTCTAGGTATTGATGAAGAAAGTAATGAAAGTGCAATACATTTCTTATCACCATCTTGTAAGAAAGCTCTTAGAATGAACTGTAGTTATATTATGTGATTTCCAAATGTTTTAATGTTGCAGCATGCTAAGATCCTAAGGCACCTCCAGCAGTGAAAGTAATCCAATTGATGACCTAGGGCAGGGTAGTAATAGAAGTTTTTGTAACTTGCTTGTTATTGATAATTAAGACTAATTAGCATTCACTGTAATTATTGTATAAACTTAGCAGCTTTTCTGGTAGAAGTTAATATATATATTATACAATATATTTTGAAGTTCACGAAATATTTCAATTTCTTGTTTTTGTTTGATTATCTAGGTACAGGTGATGGACTCCACCTGCTTTTCTAGCTCTTACTTTCAGTCGTCATCTGAAAGCTTCAATTCTGAGGTAAAATTAAAATCTTGTCATTGATTCATATTATCGGTTGAAGAAGTTTTATTCTGTACCTCGTCTGTAATTGAATGTACGGGATGAAGCATCTGTTATAGTGTTTGTGTCTAATTTTTACCCCTAATTATCCCTTTTATAAAAGCAGTTGCAACATAACTTCAGATACTTAAAAATACTTTTTAAGGGGGTACGTGTTTGAAGAAAAAGTATAAAATAACAATTTATCATGACAGAAGTAAAATAACGGTACTTCCTTTCAGTATACAATAGGTAGTATCTCAGGGACTTTACATTTAACAATCTCATTCAATCACAATTTGTAGCTCTTTAGTATTCCCAGTATAAAACTGAAACGGTTACAAATTTCAACTTTCCATAACTAGTTTAGAATATATCTTTAATCTGGTCTATTCACATAATTTTTCTAAATTTGCATGCAGGTGTTTTGCATCTAAAATGTCATATTCGTTAGCTGAATGTTGAAAGGTCGTAAACACGTGCTAATCCTTACCTAGGTACCATAAGTGTTGCATATGTCCAATGACTAGAAGCTTATATATTTCTACTCCCTCTGTATGCCCCCTTTGGGAAAAGTTGAGCTTGTTTCAGTGGTGACGCATGTAATGTGTACAAATTGGTACTTGGAATTGTTGATGTTGAATATCTGGACATTTTCATCTGAATTTGGTACAGTAAATCATTCTCTTTTTCCATTATTGACGTTTCAAAGAAAGCCTTACAATCATTCTTTGTTTAAAAACTCAACATGTTTAATAATGTTCGTCATCCTTTTACAAATAATTACTAGAGTACCACATCCAAGGCTGAACTTATAATAAACAATATATGAAATTACTTTAACCCTAAAAATAAAATGATTTTACTAATTTATTTTAAATAGATCAGAAAACATCAACTGTATTATTAGGGATGACCATATTAATTGTGTGCAATAAAAGAAGTTTTATATTATTTATGATTTAACAGATGTTTTAAGATTATAATTCTGACACACGATGATTAGTGAATAACCAGAATGTTTGCTGACATACTTTATATTTCTCATTTGGTTAGTTTGTTTTGTCTTTGCATCCACAGAAGTTGTTTGTGTACACACACACATGCCAAAAAAAAAGTTACTTCAGTTAAATAATCCTAGGTTAACTTTGTCATTTCAGAAAAATTGACCGACCGTGTAACCACGAAACTATAAATCTGAATTTACTAAATGTATTTTTGTGCAAGTTTGCAAGATTTTAGTAAACATTACACGTGTGTTGTACACAAAAGTGTTTTTACTAAAGATATTTCTGTAAATTTACAAAACCTTTACTGACTCCGAGTGAAAGTTGGTTTTCATGCTAAGAATAAAAATTTCTCATCTTATAGCTTTTATATTTAATTTGCACAACCTGTAAAAGCTCCTAAATTAATATCAAAATTTGTTTATATTTAATTTGCACAACTTGTAAAAGCTCCTAAATGAATATCAAAATTTTGTTTATATTTAATTTGCACAACCTGTAAAAGCTCCTAAATTAATATCAATTTTTTTATATTTAATTTGCACAGCTTGTAAAAGCTCTT